AGCATTTAGGAACTAGAGGAAAGTTGTATGTTTCATCATTGCTACGTCGCACCCTGACTGGCTCATCTCCTCCCGGAGACCCTTCTGTAAGGGGATGTCCAGTGGCCTACAGATGGGCTTTGGGTCTCCACTCCGCACTCCCCCCCTCATTCACTATGATATGATTTTTTGTTCTGATGATGCCTGATTAATTTCATCTTTCACCGTTGACTTTTAGCCAAGTGTATTTCAGCCTTCTTTTAAAGTCTGCATATGCCTGTCCTGGAGAAGGGAGCCAGACCTGGAATGAATGCTCTCTCAGCCTCACATCAGGGCTCAGCTTAAGCCTTGGTTTCCTGGCTCTGTTAAAAGATCACGATACAATTAGTCATCCGCTTCAGGAGCATTGGAGTTCCTGCTCAGAGTCTGACATGTAAATAACCTCTGAAGGTGGAGTCTGATGATAATCAGGGGACTGTCCAATTACTCGGGCCCATTATTCCTTGGAATCCAGCATGTGAGGTCTTGACACAGTGGGGGAAAATAAAGACTCTTTAATTAAAAGTTATACACATGTTGTTTGGAAATGGTTGGCGCAATGCCACCTTCTAATGGCTTGGGCAGAAGGAGGTATGGGTCGGTAACAGGTGTATCAGGTTCTCCAATAACTCGTGTTGCTAATATGTCCAAAGAAATGGCACAGTTATCTTGCTGGCACAGCCTTGTCTCGGAGAGTGTCAAGAATCAGGAGACGCGAGTGCATATCGCAGGTAGTACCATGTATTCTTTTTTGATGGAATAAAGGATTGATCTGGGTGACTTCAAAGGGCCCTTCCATCTCTAAAACTGTGGTTCTATAAATAAGATGAAAGGAGAAATAGAGTTCCACAAGAAGGTACTCAAATGGGAATATTTATTCTTCTAACTCTTCAGCGGTTCTCAACCTGTGGGTCGCAACCCCTTTGGGGGTCAAATGAGCCTTTCACAGGGGTCGCCCGATTCATAGCAGTCGCAAAATTACAGCTCTGAAGTAGCAACGAAAATAATTTTATGGTTGGGGGTCCCTACAACATGAGGACCTGCATGAAAGGCTCGCGGCATTAGGGAGGTTGAGAACCACTGCTTTAGATTAAGCCGAGCTGTGACATAGTGTAAGGAGCTCTGGTGGTCTAGGGGTTACACACAAGGCTGCTAACTGCAAGGTCTGCAGTTCAAAACAACCAGCAGCCCCACGGGAGAAAGATGAGGCTTTCTACTCCTGTAAAGAATGGCAGTCTCAGAAACCCATGGGGGCAGTTCTACCCTGTCCTATATGGGTAGGACATCGCCTCAATGGCAATGAGTTTGGTATTTTTGATTTTGGGTGACATAGTGGGCCAATGAATGACAAAGGTACATGGAACGTAAGAACGACAGGCTAGGGCATGGTCAGAGTGGTAACCACTCCTCCCATTCGCTTCCCCCAAGTTCCCAGACCAGGGCGGAGGCAGAATAAAAGTATCGACAACCTTTTTTTTAAAATCATTAGTCGACAGCTTGCTGTTGTTATTTGCACTGCACAGAGTTCCTCACCCCAACCTGAGAGGTGACTGTTAGTATTCCCGTTTCATACGTGAGGAAACGTGAGAAGATGGACAAGCAATGGAGCCACTTTTTCATTCATTTCTAGAGCATAATAGAAATAGGTTGTGTAGTTGATCCTAAAGACCCCTCCTATTCTGTGACCTGCAGAGTGGGTTTGACTGCCTAGCCCGTGAAAGGTTCATGCTTAGAATCCAAGTCCAGGTGGCATAAGCATGGGCAGGCCCTCTGACCAGACACCATTTACATGCTCACAGAGACCCCAAACCAGGTCTACTAGACACAGCACTTTCTTAGGGAGCCCTGACAACATATGCTGTAAACAAAGGGGTTGTTCAAACACCTCATTCTCCTCTGGGGACACCGAGGACTGCCTTTAGATCATGTCGCGGAGGAAGCACAGAAGTCTAATCACCACAGGCTTTGATTCCACAAATCAAGAACTGGGCCGAGGATAAATATGTATGTATTCTTCATTCAGGTGGAAAGGCCTCAAGCAGCCAGATAGAAGGAAATTTTCCAGATTAAAAGGGAGTAGGTCCATGGTGGCGCAAGGGTTAAAGGGCTTCGCTACTAACTGAGAGGTTCAAATCCACCCATCAACTCAGAAGGAGGAAAAGTTGGGCGATGAGCATACATAACCTGGAACAGCCAATGGGGCCATTCTACAAGGGGTCATCATGAGCTGGAAGTGAGCTGATAGCACATAACAGGCACGTGGTACTTAAGAATGACCACTGTCACCATCACCCACCAGGCATTTATAAAGCACCACCGATAACCCAGATCATTGACTAAAGATGACAAGTTATTTTTACAGGAGCCAGAATGACGGAGTTGAATAAGGCTTCCATGACCTCAGACAGGATCACAGGGATCATCGGTACAGAATGTTGGCCTGTGGTTGTGAAGGGCCGTCAAGTTGGTTCCAACTCATAGCAATCCTTTGTGCACCACTCAGTCCTTTGCCATCCTCACAACTGCCATTACGTTTGAGCCCTTCGCTGCAACCACGGTGTCAATCTATCTAGTCGGAATGTCTGTATTAGGAGTGTGTAATGTCCTTCTGGGAAGGTTAGGATAGAGGGAAGGAGGGACCTTTACAAGCAAGGGATGGGCATGTTGGAAGCGTGGTTTATAGCAATTTGCCCTTCCCAAGGTTAAAGGCATATAGCCCCAGAAGCTATTGCCATTGACGCAATCCTGACTCATGCAAACCAAGTGTTACAGAATAGAACCACTCCACAAATGTTCTTAGCTACAAGCTGGTTGCTGGGCCTTTCTTCCATGGTATGACTAGGCGTGTTTGGACTACCAACCTTTGTGCCACCCAGGGGCACAGATCTCCGCACTGTGTCCTAAACGTCCTGTGTTTCACAAAGGCCTCTCCTCTTCTCCTGCCCTAATTTAGCACTACAGGGATGCTTGGCTCCATCTACTTTCCTTCACTGACTTGTCTACTGTGTTTACATAGAGTTCTTAGGCTGGAAATGAAGAAGCACCTGGCTGGCTTCAAGATTAATCTGGGTAGTTTCTACTAACCTAGTATCAACTCTTCCTCTCCACACATCCCCACCCACCCACCACCCCCACCACCCACCCTGCTCCTATCGACCACATTGCCAGGGTCAGGGAGGAGGCACACAGTGGGCTGCAGGGCAGGAGAGGGTGAAGAGAAAAGATGAGCATGCATCTGTGCCCACAAAGGCCTGTGTCCAATCCTTGGAAGACACTTCCTGAGTTACAACACATCGGATTAACAAGCCTCGACACAGGCAAGAGAAGAAAGCTGTTCTGCAGAGGAATGCTGATCTCCTCTCACCACTTTCGTTTTCCCTGATGAACACCAGACCCTTGGCCTTTGGCTGACAGCTCAAGAGCTCCAACTCCAGATATGTTTGCATATCTGTCCAGACAGCCAAAAAAAATGAAAGCCCACAGATTAAACATAGTCATTTTTGAAACTACCATCTGTCTCCTTGATGTTTTGGTGTTTGGATACAGTCATAAGCAACCCTCTCTAATCCACGTATTCATTCCATACGCATTGAGTAGCGGGATCGCTGTACAATGGAAAAGGCCATGCATTTTCGGTCCAATGAGGGAAACAAATTCCAATCAACGGTTTACTTCACCCCTTGGGCCAGGAGCAGGGCTGTGTGCCTGATCCTCATTGTACAACAAAGAGGTTCAAAGTTCAAACTTCAAGTTGTGCTTTCAGTCCACGGAAGCCGCAAGCACCTCATTTCCAGTGTCAACGGTTCTTAACCTGGAGCCGTGAACTTGGAAGGGAAAAAAAGTTATATCGTTGTTTTCAGTCATCTCTAACTGAAATGTAAGTCTTTCTTCAACTGTGAATGCAGGTAGCCAACCACAGTTGTATCTGCCGTCCCGGCGACTTTGCCGCCAATAGGAATCTCCGTCACTTTCTTATCCTGTTAAAGGTATTGTCTACACCTTGACGTATTCCTTAGGTTGTCTACTACTTTAAAACCACGATAGATATTAGATATAACTAGATCTTGTGATTGAATGCATTAGTAAAGAAGCACGTCTATTACACACACACAAATTGTTTTAGTATTTGACAGGTGTCTGGGAATTCGTTTCCTTTCTAATCCTCTGTCTCTTACTTTGTGCCTTTAAAAGCATTGTTCTGAGAAGGGACCCTTAGTCCGGACTGAGCTGCCAGAAGGGTAAACCCACCCACTTTCCGGGAGTAGATTGTGACGCAGTGACCCAGTGGAACTTCCAGGAAGGTTCCCAACACTGTGAATCCTCCTGAGAGCAGACTGTTACCTCTTTCTCACACAGAGTGGCTGCGGACCTGCCAGCGGTCCAGCGTTTTAACCATTGCACCACCAAGCTCCTTGGCAAAGGGCTACATGGCACACAGAAATGGTGGGACCCTGCACTCGGGCCCCGGGCAGCACAGGCAAGGGCGCGCTCTGTCCACAGAGCTCAAGGTCCGGAGTGAGAAGGGGCCTGGCCCCAGTGAGTTCATCAGAGGGCCCTTTCCGCACCCTCCAGCGCCCATCTGGCTCTGGGGCACCCCTGGGAGTCAGCGAGCGGTCACTCGTCCCTGCCCCTCGGGGGTCGGGCGCCCCTTCCTGCTGAGAGGCACAGTCCACATGCCCGAGCCTCCAGACATCCCCCCCACCCCCTACACGGAGGACGCCCCCTCCACACCACCAGCCGCGCTTCGCTTTTCCACCGCCCAGGGCCCAGCCCAGGACCCTGCAGCCCAGGACCCCGCGAGGGAAGAAACGCCCTAAAGAGCCCTGGGCAGCACGGACTGCGTGTGTTCCCGGCTGGGACGGAACGTGGGAGCGGGCTGGAGTGCAGAGCGCGGGGCGCGGATCTGCGGAGCCCAGCAGCGGGGTCCCTGTCCCGGCCCCCCTTCTCCAGCCCCGGGCCCGATCCACTCAGGTGCCTCTTACCCAGGGGCGAGCGGAGCCTCAGGCCACAGCGTTGGCACAGCAGCAGCTGCCTGGAGAGACGCGGGCCACCCTGCCTGGCTGGGATCCGCCCGGGCGGAGGCTGGGGGCGGGGAGAATGGGGCTGCCTCCCCCACCCAACCCCCGAAAGGTCCCGGAAGGTCCCGCCGCCGGCCCCGCCCCGCCCCGGCCGGCTAGGCCCCAAGGCCAAGTGCAGACTGCGCGCGCTCGCAGTGCGCCCCGAGGACCGAGCCCAGGTCGCGAGTGCAGTGGGCGCAGTGCGCTGCGCGCGGGGACAGACTGGCCCCTGCCCCTCGCGCCCTGGAGCGCCGCCCGGCTCCCTCGAGCGTCAGCGGAGGCCACAGAGGCCACCTGACGCTCCTGTCCCCTGGGTGCCAACCGCGTCCCGTAGGCCAGGCGGGGGACGGTGGAGGCGGGGCGCTGCCGAGTTCGCTGGGGTCCTCCCGGCGGCGCTTACCGCTGGTTCATTCGGAGAGGCTGATCGCATCAGTAGTAAAATTGTTGTGACCTGGGCAGCTGCAAAAGCCAAGTGCAGTGTGCATGTGGCCTGGCCGCGTCAAGTTTGCACGTGGTTCAGAGGACACAGTTAAATCCTCAGCACCGTGTTTTAGTAAGATGGACTGGCACGGTGGTTGCCACCATGGGCAGAAGGACAATTATGGAGATGGCACAGGACCCCGCAGTGTTTCCGTGGATTGGACATAAGGTCCCTGAGTGGGACCCGACTTGATAGCACCTGACACCAATAACAACAACAATGCTTTAATGAAGCCAAGAAACAGCCAAGACCATCCTTGTGCAATGCCCATCTGACCGCGGTGAAGAAGAGTGGGTGGAACAGCTGGATGGAAGCACCCTAGACTGCCCACCATCAAAGGTGCTAACACTAGATGGACACCGTGGCTGCAACAATGGGCTGAAGCGCAGGAACAGTTGTGAGGATGGAGCAGGACGGGGCAGTGAGTCCTTCTGTTGTTCGCAGGGTCCTGTGAAGGCACACAACAGCAAGAAGCCAACAATGGACATCAGAGAAGTCCCACGTCTCTCAGGAACGGAGCCATTTCCCGGCAAGATCAGCCATTCTCTCCAACCAAACCCAACTCACCACCCTCGAGGCAATTCCGACTCATCCCAACCGTACAGGACTGAGGTAGTTAACGTTTCCCCGAAAATAAGACAGTGTCTTATATTAATTTTTGCTCCCAAAAATGCGCTAGGTCTGATTTTCGGGGGATGTCTTATTTTTCCATGAAGAAGAATATGGTACACATTTATCGTTTATTGCTTTATTGTTTTATTAAAGGAGACCTCGCACTTCCTGTCTGCTCTGGCTGCGCTGTGGTCAACAGTGAGCTGCGTGGCAGCGCCGGCCGCTATGGTCCAGAGTCCAGAGTTATGGTAGTTTCGGGGAGCCTTAATTTTGGAGAGGTCTTATTTTGGGGGGTGCCTTATTTTTCAGCAAGAGGCAAAACTGTAAGTAGGTCTTATTTGGGGGGAATGTCTTACTTTTGGGGAAACAGGGTAGTTTATTGTGCCAACCTGGCCCATAAACACAGGTGGGGTTAATTGAAGGGCAGAAGGATAAATGGCTCGGTGACCCTCGCCTTTCTAGTTCTTGGGTCTCTTGCTTTGCAATGGTCGGACCAGGGTGAAGCTGCCTTAGCCAGTTCCCTGCTTCAGCTTTCAGGGCTCACTTCCTGCGAGACATCCCCGAGGAGAAGCTGCATGGACCTACCCCAATGCAGCCTTGGGTGCTGGAACAGCCACGTGGAGACCCCTGCCAGCACTGAGATTCTTACGCGCTCACTGATTCGGCTTCCCTCCTACAGTCGGCATCACTGCATGTGTTTTGTGAGATGGAGGAGGACTTTGTGGATTGGTGGCAGATACATGGGTTAATGTTGGACTTGTGGGCTTGGGCAGCACTGGGTTGGGCTGTTTTCTTGATGAGCACTTAACCTTTCTATAAAACTCTCTCTTATGAGTTTCTGTGGATTTGTTTCTTTAAAGTACCCAGACTAACACAAGGACAGAGTCGAGCTGCCAGTCTTTACGGGAGTAGAAAGCCTCATCTTTATCCTGCAAAAGAGCTGGTGGTTTCAAACTGCTGACTTTTTGGTTAGCCATTCAATGTGTAACCCACCAGGCCACCAGGGATCCTAGGAGGTCCTTATAGAAAGAGTTTCTGTCCAGAATGAAGCCAGGAGGGCTCAGGCAGCTGTGCTCTGTAGCTGGTATGTCGTCATGTTCTCATGACTGGCAGGTGGATTAAGAGGAGGATTCAGGTGGGTGGGAACATAGCTTCCTTTGGAAGCCAGGTTGCATCTTTTATAACAAGTCTGACTTGTAAGGTGGCACAAGCTGCTGTTGAGGATGGCACCTCCCTTCCCCTGGGACAAAGGGGTGGGTGAGTCAGTAGAATGAGAGGGCTCCTGGGCAGAGTGCAGAGGGGCAGGGTGCCCAATGTATGCCTCACCTCCTTTTGTCTCTCCTTGCTCTTATATCCAGGCAGGAAAAGGAGCATCCATCCTAACTGAGAGGTAATCTCTTCCCCGCTCCCACACACCAAGAAGGTGACTTCACCAACCTAGAGACTCATCTTCTAAGGCCCAGGCTATAAAGTGGCCAAAGGGCAGAAACACCCCATCTGATGACAGTTTGGCCACAATACTGTCACTGCATCAAGCAGGTGAATTGGTGGGACTCATATTATTACTACTTAAGGACAGCCCATCAACCCATGCTCCACATTTAGCCCTGAAGGAAACTCAAATGCTCAGCGAGAAACTCTGGCTTCCAGTCCTAGCTGTGAGGCCCCAAAGGAGGAGGTGCCGGGAAAGCCAGAGCTAGGTGACAGGGAGGCAATGTGAATGGGAGCTCTCTCTCCTATGGGCGTGGACTTTCTGGGTGGCTGGGTTCTCCCCACAGCTTTGCCCTGCGCCTGCCTTGGCCAGCATCCTTGTTCTCTCAAGAGCAGAGCTCACCCCGGTCCAGTCTCAGAGTAGCTGACTTTGACCCAGAGAGTTCTGGGCCTGCAAGGCTTACCTAGAATTTGTGGTGCTGCACATTAGGCTCTGGGCTGTTCACCTCAAGGTCAAGGGCTCAAACTCACCAGCGATGAGGCTGCGTGCTCCCATGAAGACGTATAGACTCAGAAACACTGTCCTACTACGGGTGGACGGAGGGTGCGGGGGCAGCTCTGAGTGCCAGTGGACTTGATGGCGGTGGAGTTTTGTTTGTTTTTCAGTGGAGGGGGGAGTTGGTTTTGTGGGGATGGGTGAGGGGTGTCAAGAAAGTTCAAGGAATCCTTCCCATGAGGCTCCCTCCGGCAGGGCTTCAAACTGGCTTGTTCCAGTTCAGCGTCCCGCTGTGGATGGGCGTTCCCACCCCAGATGGACGGAATCAGATTCCTCGCTTTAGGAAGATCTCCAGGTGATTCAGAATTCCCCCATACGCTTATGTCCCGTGACAGGGAAACTCGGGCTTCTCCCACCCAGTTCGGCAGCATGATCAGGCTGCATGAAGGGGGTTCATACATAAAGCAGCGCCATCAAGCGGAATCTCCCTCTCAGGTACAGTTGGATCAAGAGATGGAATGTCCAATTCCTGAGGCCTATTGCTATCTCCATCCCCAAGGTCTCCAGGCCAAGAAAAGTTCCCCTGAAAATGGTAGCTTTGGGGTTTTCCCAAGAATCACCTCCCAACTCCACGACTTTGTTGCTGTTCTTTGGGGTCAGTTGGCTTCGACTGGGAGTCACCGCGAGCCTGTGTACAACAGAATGACACACTGCCTGCTCCTGCATCATCCTCTCCATTGTCCGATCGGAGCCCACTGTGACAGCCGCAGTGTCGGTCCATCTCAATGAGGGTCTTCTACGTACAGTGGTGCAATCCTGAGCGGGGTAGGTACTCAGCTCAATGTGCCTCAGCTTCCTCCTCCATAAAAGGGTCGTAGCAACACACACCTCCTGCAGTTGGTGCTGTGAACATTGGATGGGGATTTCCAGAGAACGAAAATAAGGAAGAAGTACTCTCTGGGAGAGTGGAAGGGTGTGTGTGACCTGGGTCATAATGCTGCACTGCCACTTAACGATTGTGTGACTGTGAACATTCACCTCAATCCTCATAAAGCTTCGACTTCCTCAGGAGGTGGAATGTACGGATAAAAAAATGCCTTCCTCGCTGACCATGATAGTGGGACAAGAGGAAAGTAAAGGGAAATAGAGGAAAGAACTAGGGGACAAAGGGTATGTATAGAGGTTTTAAGACTGGAATGTACATATGTAAATATATTTATATAAGAGTGTGAGGAAACAGATCTACATGCATGTATGTATAGGTTTCGTATTAAGGCAGCAGATGGACATTGGGCCTCTCCACTCAAGCACTTACTCATTGCAAGAACACATTGTTATTTTAAATTGGCATTCCAGGATGCACACCTTCCCAAATCCATTGCTGATGAAAAATGGGAACATAAGCAAAGGTGGTGAAGAAAGCTGATGGTGCCCGGCTACCATAAGATATAGCGTCTGGGGTCTTAAAGGCTT